GCCGGCCAACCCCGCCCCGCAGCCGCCAGCGCGACCCGCGACCCGGGGCTGGGTCTGCGCGACCTGACTCACGCGGGGGAAAGTCAAGCCCTCCCTACACAGCCACCGAGGGTGGGGCTGGGCGGGTCTCTAAGGACCGACTGACGTCCTAGCCTGAGCCTCGTCAGCCACCAGAGCCTCCCACAGGACACCTCCCAGGTATAGGGTGTCACCACCTCCTCCCACCAGCCTAGACGGTGGGCCAGACTGCCTAGCCCCTGCCTGGGTTGGGAGGGACTGGTCAGCCTTCCTCAACAGTCTGGGCTCTGGGGCCCAGCAAGAAAAGTCACCCCTGGCTGGTGGCAGTGAGGTCGCAGGCCCAAGACCCAAGGCCAAGGGGAGTGTGCCCAGAAAACTACAGCTCCTCCTGACCCCACCCCACCCCAGCCTGGGCCCCACAGCCCCACCCCTCCAGCTTCTGATGCTGCTCCCCAGAGTGCATCCAGCCCCCTCTCAGGCTCCTCTGTCTGAGGCCTGAGGCCACGGCCCCCAGGGTATCTGCATCCAGCCCTTGTCCTCAGGTATCTCAAGAGCTCAATGGCAAAGCCTGAGAACAAAGGCGTGTGCCCCGGCTCCCCACTGTGAGAACTGCAGCCTCTAGTTGTGGGTGTCAACCTAGACCAGAATCCCAGTCCCGTGGCTGTCTAAAGTGGCAAGGTGGCTTAGAAAAACTCGTGAACACAGTTTCAATAAATTATTCTGTTCAAGAATAGCCACGTGGGTGCCAACGAAGTGACAAGCAGTATCAACATAACACGAGTCACAACCTCGACTACTCCAGGAGGCCAGTCAGTGCCATGGCGAGACAGTCATCCCAGTAGTCCCCCCCCCCCACTTTTGTGTGTCAAAAGTACGGAAGCAGGAAAGCCAGGAATGGCAGCCCCAAGAGCAGGAAGTCTGACCGAATCTGGGCCTCGGGCTGAGCCCGTCTGTGCAGCAGGAGCAACAGGGGCCACCTCTCGTGCCGGTGGGGCTGGGGCCGTGGCTGTGGGTGTGTCGTGCAGACGCTCCCACTGCGAGAACCAAACTACGTCTGTTTGCGCCAACTCTTGACATGTGCTAATTAATTTTTAAATATCTTGTTTGTAAAACAATTTCCTAATAAGAAAAAAGATTACCCATGCGGGCCCCGACTGCAGCCTACAGGACAGAAGGCCGGGCTCGGCAGTCTCCGATGCCACCACGCTTCCCACCTGAGCATGGCACGGCGCCCTCCCTTGCTTCTCCACTGAGGTCTCGCCCATGGCCCTTGACCAGGTCAGAACTGGCCACAGCTCTCCATCCTCCATGGACAACCCCGCACTCATGGGACCGCCCAACGCGGGGCCCGCTCGCTCACGCCACCTGTTCAGCCCAAAGCCCCCGAGAACGTGCTGTGTGCCACGGAAGGTGCTGCCCGATGGAGACGCGGGGACGAGTCCCCACCCGCCAGCGTCCAGGAGCCCCTTGAGTGGCCCTCGTACAGCAGCCTCAGTCCACATGTGACGAAGAGATGACAGGGATGGGGCCGGCACTAAGGCAAGTGGACACTCTCCCGAGATAACCTGACCAGTGGATAGTCGTGTCGGCTTGGGAGCGACAGGAAGAGGGGTGAGACATTAGGAGGGGCCAACTTTGGGTTAGGGCTGGCCGCGGGAGCGGGGCGAGGCAGGGCGACAGAAGCACCAGTGTGTCCTCGGTCCCTCTGGGGCAGTTCGGATAGCTGCCAGAGGCTCCTGTATGGTAGCCCTGTGCT